TATTCGTATAATTTAGTAAAATTTCTGTAAATCACTATAAATAATGCATTGTTAGTAATTGAGCTGTAATTTCTGTATTATTAATCCGGTATGTGATGGAGATAAACAATTGTGATTGATTAAAATTTTATTTTAAGATGAAACTTTTGTTAGCAACATTCTGAGAATTCGAATAATGAATTGAATAATGGCAAAACAAGTGACATCTGTCTAAAAAAGACAGCGATTTAGAGAGACAATTTGGTTATGTAAAATCTAGAAATACTGGTTTGCCTAACCATTAACATTAATTTAAAAATAAATTACCAACATGAATAATGAACAAAACATTCAAACAAAAATAGACCACAGACTACACAAAACAAATTGTTGGTTAGTAGCAGTTAGTAGTAGTCAGAGATATAGATGTAGTAGTATTTTGGTTTAATGGCCACAGCTGTCAGGCTATCCGGCCGGCTAATAGAATTATCGTTTTTAAATAGAAATTAAAAAAAACATAAAGTTATAAAGCTAGAATAGTATACGGTTTGGTTTGGTTTCAAAAGACATTCATAAAAAATTATATCCTTCAAATTAATAGCTGTTAGTAAGAAGTTTTACTTCAAATATGCGCACATAGTGTAGATACAATTTTTTTAATTATTTATTAATATTTCTTAAACTATCAAGACATATTTAATCATATCTTAGAACTATGTAAAGTGATTAGAAAGTAAGCCAAAAATACAATAATATACAGGGTGTTCCATTCCAAATTAAAAAAGAAATCATCCCGATCCATTCACACTTTTTGGAGCCACCCTGTAGAAGTTAAAATATTTTTCTGATGTACATCCTAATACATACTTTAAATTTGAATTTGTCTAAAATTTCTAAGTTTTTTATTATAGCCCGACGCATTGTTGCCGGACACGTATAAAGTAGTAGAAATAACTTTGAACAGCGGCAACTCCTATTTCCCGCAACTTTTTAATTGGCACTCTATTAAAAGTGTCAAAAATATGATGGGCGTAATAATCCAGCAGCCCGATCCTGTACTATAATAAAGGTTCATGAATAACAATAGGTATTATTCATAGAGGTTAAAATAAATGTAGGTATTATTCATATTAAAACTATTTATTAAAATATACTCGTTTCTTTTTGATACTTCCATTTTTTACAAAGAAATCTGATCATTTTAAACTGTTATTTATAAGTAATAGTTTCAACTTTCCAACTGGTGTATGTCTTGCCTTCGTATTCTTGACATCGTATATTTTTATTCACTTAAAATATGTGAGCTGATTATAAAATGTTCCTATATAGTTTAAACAGAGCTGCAACAAGTCAGTTTTAAAAAGACTTATTTAAGTAATTTCTAAAATCAAAATGATTTAAGTCTTAAGTAAAATTTAACATAAAGTTCAAATGATTTAAGTCTGAAGTCTTTGACAAAAGTCATTTTATTTCAAGTGAAGTCATTTTTGTGAAGACTTAAATCAATATAACGTTATTTAAGTCGTTTTTATGACTAAAGTTTATATTTTTGACTTAAATCATGATGCTCTGCAAAAAGTCTTAAAGTCTTAAGTCAGTAAAATGACTTAAATCAATATAATTACCCTCAAGTCAAGACAACCAAAATTCAATTTAAGTACTTTTCTTTACTTGTATTACTAATTAGCGATTTTCTTGCTAAGTATCATATTATTAATTTATTGTAGATACAGGTGAGACTAAAACCACATAAAATAAAACGGTTGAATTCAGAACAACTACAAAACTACAAACACAAAATATATTTTTTTTATAAAATTTAACCGATTTTGTAGTACTTCATATGTATCCATTACAGATAGATGTCATAGAATACGTGTTTGTCAAAAAGTGGTGATGTATTTTGATCACCATGTATTATATCGATGGTATAAGATAAGTGCTGAATGATTTTAAGACACTCTTCAATATATTCGAGATATATTTCTTTCGTCTTTCGTTCGTCCCCCTTTAGAACTTTTTCTTTAATGGCCATAAGCGGGAGTAAAAGACCAACCGCTCGAACAAACACTAGAGGCGCCACCGGTCATCAAATGGTGTAAAAATTGCGAAAATTTAATCATCTAATTTTGACACAAGGGGTCGCGCTTAACTTTTTCAATTTTAATTCAATATTCATTGTTTTCAAACTATATTATTAGACTGGGTTGTATTTTGTGAATGTATAAATGTTTTCTTAGTATAAAGTTGCATTATAGCAATTTAAATTATATTACATACATATTTAATATTCAAATATTATGACATATATGTCAGTTGCCGTCTAAAATCATGTTAAAATATTAAAATTTACAAGTTATAATTAGATATTTTATATTATTTCAACAACAAACACATAATAGTACAGCGTAATGTTGATATGCAGGTCCAAAATAAAAAGTGCCGTTATATCTTTCAGTTTTCGTTGTCAGCCGCGGAAGTTTCAGTGATTTTAGTGTTGTCGGATATTTTATTTGTGAAATAGAAATATTGCGTTTGGATTGCAAAACTAAAAGTGGAAGTTTTATTGCAATGTAAGTAAGCGTTTGTCCATTTTATATTTTACTTTTTTCATACCTACGACAAATATACATATATATTGAAATTTTATAATTCGTTTTATTTCAAAAATATTAGAAAACAAGCTTTTAATCCTGTAACTGACATAATTGTTATGTAATATATTCCATTTAAATGTAATATATTATATATAACTTTACAATTAAAATAATGTACATTTAAAAAATATATTAAAAATATATACAGGCATTAATTGAAATTTTTTGAGTGCGAACAAACACGAGAGGCGCTTTATTATTTACTTTCATTTCTTAACATGACAGACGAAGTTCTAAAAGGGGATGTTTTGTGTTCCGTATCAAACCGATGTTTTTCAGGAACCGCTCTTTACCGTAGTTTACAGGTTTGGTTTTGCAACAGAATACAGCCTAAATAAAAAAAGTCTTAACTTTTCAGTGAGCTTGCAGCTCTGATCGTTAAAAATACATGTATCCTACGATTGAATATATTGGATATAAAAGTTAAAATACTCTCTGAAGCATACTATAAGAAATGAAACTTCGTTTTGAACTGGCTCACTCCCTCTTTTGTAAAGAACCTTACTTCTATATCCTCGTCGCACGAAAATACAAAATTGCCAATTCTATTCTGGCAAATTTGAAAAAACTCGACTTCAACTTTTCTCTGTTAGATAGAGAAAGGTTTATACCGTATATAAGCTAGAAAGAGAGAGGTATCTTCTGTTCCAATGCCTTTTACACCATGAGAGGATTTTTAAATTGATATAAATTGACACACGAGATAGTAAGTTTTCGAATTCCTTTCCTCTCTTCCTGCTTTGGTATTTATTATTATGTTTTCGCGATACACTTTTCGAGATTTTTTATTTAATCTTTGAAGATTTACAAACGGAGTATTGATTTGTGCATAGCTCAGGTTTGATATATTTTTATTGATTTTTTAAGCAAAAAAATGAAGATTGTTTTTTATGGTTATACGTAAATAAAAAGATATAATCGTTTCTTGTACTTAAATTTTTTTTCAGCGATCTAGATATTGTAGTTCTGTAGAAACTTCTAATCCACGCTCAGTCTGGGACACCCTGTATACTGTTTGAGATATTTATATTGACTTGAATTAGATTTGTCATATTTGTATTACTGTACTGTGTATTTCGTAGAAAATTATATTTTTTAGCTGTTTAAAATAAATTTACTAAACGCATTATCGTTGATTGAAGAAATAAGAAGATGCGCAACCTTATGGACGATTTCGTGGCACAAAACCTGTCCGAGATGTAGCTGGCCATACCGTCGCACATTGGTCTAAATGGAAACATTACGGGGACACTCAATTTTGTTTTTGAAATAAAGGAAATAATTGTTCTCTATAATGTTTTTATGTAAAATTATACTCAGCAAAAATATTTTTTACATTTTTACCTTCCTATTTTATATACAGGGTGTTCAATTAGTGCGATAAAGTCCAATATCTCGTTTGCTATTAAGAATTTTAAAATAATGTTATAAGGAATAATGAATGGCTTCTTGTTAAAACATTTTTAATTATACGGGGTGTATAAGAAAAGTGCTACAAACCAAACTTCAGTTTTTTAAATAAAACACCCTATATATTTTTTAAGATTTCAATTCCTGGTACTTTTTCCAGCATTTTGATATAGGGGTGAATGGTTTATACCATGTGTATCAAAAGTTACAGCCATTTTTATTTTTGACGCTCTATACCATTAACAGTACCTAATATTATTTTGTTTTATCGCATCAGGATATTAACAAGATGGTATTTTGTCATTTTATTTGTTGATTTACAAGTGAATATTACAACTTAAAACAATGTTGACAATGATATTGTGTTACTTGGGTATTTTAACTGAATGTATTTACTGGTCTACAAAATGTTATCTTTATCATGCCAATTGAACGCCTTATTCCAATCAAAAATATGTACATACTTAAATAAATAAATAATAAATAAATTCCTTTTTTTGTTACATGTCGCATCTCGTTGTTTAACTTTCTAAATTTTTTATTTTTGCCAACTCTTCTGGACTAGAAATCGTAGCTTTTTTGATGGCGAAAGCAACATTTCTCTTTCCTTTTTTTGTATATCCAGTCTGAGTGGCAAATGCAAGTTCAGCAGGACTATATTGGGAAACCAATTCTTGTGTACGTCTTCTCTTAGTTTTAGTACTAACCGCACTAAATTCTCTTGAGTTCTTTCGCGAAGGCGTTTTTGCATGTTGGTGAAAGGTGCTTTGGCACTTAGATTTATAAACATATTCGTTAAGCCAAATTACATGTTTCTTTAAAAAGTCTTTTTTATTTCGGTAGCACCTTTTCCAACGTAAAGCAATTTGAGTTGAAAACCATGATATTTTGTTGGTTAGGTCATCATCGTCAGCAGTAGGCATGCGTTGTTTGACAAAGTCGGCCATCTTTTTCCTCACAACTAAAGAAGTGGCACTTCCCATCCAGCCATTTTCATTCAAAAGCTCAAATAAGTGTTTTCGACTCACGCCCGAAACTGTACCTACAGAGGAAAAAAATAAAAATTTCACAAGACTGCACCTATCAGCATCTCAGTATATTATTACACGATAGGCAGAAATACTAGCTTTAAAATAAATTGAGTTTGGCGGTGAAGAAAAGTGTCGTTTTTTTTCTGAGCCTTCCATTCTTTCAACTTTAATAGAATTGTAAATACTTCTTTGACAACTAATTATATCAAAATTCGTGTTTCGAAATAAGTAACTAAACTTACCTAACAAATGAGCAGACATGTCTGAATTAAAAAACAAACCACGATATTCTAATCTCAACACAACTACCAAAACGAACTTCAAGATACTTGAGAACAAATTCTATATAAATGAACATTTATATTTTTGTTTACTTTGTCCTCAATTTTATCGCGATCTTTTTTATTCCGATCTACCAAATACAAAACTCTGTTACGCAAGTAAGATGGGACTTTATTCTGTTTATAAAATTATACATACTATCAATCTTCAGTGAAGACAAACTTGTCACCTAATGTCCCCGTAATTTTTACATTTAGACCACTGTGCGTCGCCGCTAGTCAACCTGTCCGAGATCTGGTTTTAGCTCTATGCCGCTGTGCGCTGATTATCGTTTACAGCGCAGCGAATAAATAATATTGTACCGTAGGCATTTATACATTCCGTACATGTATACGGCACCTAGTACAATCCCATTAGTCAGATTTGAATTTTAAACTAATTAAACTCCGAGTGCCATACGCGAGTATGGAATGTAAGAAAACAGTGCCATATGTACTTACGGAATGTACCTAGTAGCACAGAATATCTAGCTACGCAACAGAAAAATACTCGAAATGAAAGAGCTAAAATTGCACAAATAGAATACTAGATGGCGCGACAATATCATAATCAGAATATAATTAGAAATTTTGAACTTTTGGTTTTGGATCGACGGCTCGTCGACGGCCTTATAGATCGGCTAAATACGCACAGTTGCCAGATTCAAAAGACTTGAATTGGCATCCCATTCTTTATTGTGTATAATGCAGTATGCGTTTCTTTCTATTCTTCTTTTCTTGTCAGATACACTTATATTAATTATTCCTTTGGCTATTAAAAAGTTTTAAGTATATTATTACAAAACATATACATTTTTAATATACACTAACTTATAACGTTAACTAAGAAAATACCTTTAATTACCTTTAAAATTAATAATATACAGGGCGATTGATAGTGATATTTATTAATGCTGGAACGTTAGTAATGAAATATAAGTTTAATAATAATGGAAATAATTTATTAAAATGCAGTACAAAAAATGTTAACTGACTAAAAAATACTATAACAAATTACTTCCGTTTGCCACGTTATTTATATAGACCTAGGTAGATTTTAAAAAGTGACACAGATACAATTAATAATATATTAGTTCGGCATAAAAGTTGCTGTCACGACATCGAACAATAAATTAAAATTCGTAAAATAAATTAAAATTATAAAGATTTGTTTCTTTATAAAGAAACGCAAGTATACCAAATTTGGGCCCAATCGAACTCCAGGAAATGATATCATAATAGTGTACTATATTATGGTACCACTCGATATGCTTTAAGGTACCATAATATTGCAATGTCACCGAAGATCCGTAGTATACCAAATTTAAGAACAATCGAACGCCATGAAATGGTATCGTAATATGGTACTATATTAAGGTACCACTTTATATACATCATAGTTCAATCATATTACAATGTAACCGAAGATAAGTAGTATACCAAGTTTGAGCCCAATCGAACGCCAGGAAATGGTATCGTAATATGGTACTATATTAAGGTACCACTTTATATGAATCATATTACAATGTCACCGAAAATACGTAATATCCCAAGTTTAAGCCCAATCGAACGCCATGTACGTAATATAGTACTATATTATGGTACCAGTTGATATGCTTCATGGTACCATAATAATGCAATGTCATCAAAATACGCAAGTATATATCAAATATGAGCTCAATCGAACGCCGGGAAATGGTATTGAAATATGGTACTATATTAAGGTACCACTTTATATGCATCATAGTACCATCATATTACAATGTAACCGAAGATACGTAGTATAACAAGTAACCCAATCGAACGCCAGGAAATGGTATCGTAATATGGTACTATATTATGGTACCTCTTATTATGCTCCATGGTACCATAATATTACAATATCACCGAAGATACATAGTATCCCAAATTTAAGCCCAATCAAACGCCATGTACATAATATGGTACTATAGTATGGTACCAGATGATATGCATCATAGTACCATCATATTACAATGTCACCGAAAATACGTAGTATACCAAGTTTAAGCCCTATTGCCGCCATGTACCTAATATTGCTATGTCATCAAATTGGTATGAACTCAAACGAACTTGGTATGAACTCAATCGAACGTCAGGAAGTGGTATCATAATAGTAGAACAATACTTATTATATTGTCGCCGAATTACAATGAAAATTCAGGATTCAATTATACAATCAAACGTCAGGAAGTGATTGTAATTTAGCTCATAAGATTTAATTCCAACTAACATGGCAAAGTGAAAAAAACAGCTCTGATGTATTTTAATATGTTTAAATGATGTAGCAAATTTGAAGGTAGGCTTTATCAGGAAGTATAACGATATGAATTACACAATGGCAACACTGCACAAAATTCTTTTAAATTTTGTTTGTAGAAAACTGTTTTCTTTTAAATTTATTGCCCTCTATTATGTAGTAGCGAAACTACCACATCAAAATATCTGATTTGGAGACGGGCTTTTAAAGCCTGTCTCCTTTTGCTACCTACAATTTTATACGTGTAACGAGGCTTCTGTTGCGTAGCTAGATATTCTGTGCTAGTAGCCTTCTAGTAGTTATGCTGCAGCAGAAAAGGTGTATTTTAGACATTACTCTTGACGCTTTGTTATAGAGCATTCCAACCAAAACCAAACCAACCCGACCAAGTAGCTCTCGTTCACGAAGCGACGGCTTCAGTCATGGGCCACAGCTACTCTTGGAAGCTTAGCTATAGCCAGGCGTTACTTTCTGCTGTAAGCATATATAATTTGTATAGCATAAGTAACCAGGTACATTCCGTAAGTGCGCATGGCACTGTCTTAAGGTGGGTATTCACTTGCAACAAAACACTCCGAACGAAGCAAACGCGCCGCGCGCGCTGTAACAAGTTTGTGTAGTCGCCAAACATTTTCCGAAGCTTGTCGGTAAACTGGATTTGCTCAAAAAAATTATTTTTTGGCCGGTGTTGTTGGATACGGCCGTTTTGAACGTTCGTTGTGTTTGTGGGGTTTTTAGTTAAACTGTGCCTAGCTATGGAGTGGAACAGAGAAAAGTTTTTAATTTAATTGATGAGTTTGAAAGGCAACCTATTTTATGGGATCCGACAAATGGGACATATTATAACAAAGTAAAGAAGCATGATGCTTGGGTGGCAATTGCTAATAATATAGGTGCCCACATTGTTCGTTCTTTCCTTTTTTTCTCCTTTTTGTTACCCGCTAATGCCTCTATAATTAAAAAAAGCACCAGCGGCTATGGTAATATCAGATGCATGCTTCCATGTCGACAAACACACTAATACTGATTACTGGTGGGAACGCAGAGAACACCGCAAACTAGTGGAACGCTCGGCGCAAAATGTTTTGTTGCAGGTCGTTCAGAGCGCGCCCGAAAAATGTTTTGTAGATTGTTTGGAATGCGCGGCGCGTTTGGGTGGTTTGGGTGTTTTGTTGCAAGTGAATACGCATCTTTACATTCCATACTCGCGTATGGCACTCGGAGAGTTTAATTGGTTTAAAACTCAAATTTGACCAATGGGATTGTGCTAGGTGACGTATACATGTACGGAATGTATAAATGCGTACCGTAGTTCTGCTTTTAGTCGACAGAGTGGGTGGCTGCCCGAGACAGTGTTACCAGGACTACGGATTAATTCCAGATTTACGGATTTTGGGTACAGTACATTAATAATAAGGATTTTCTATCATTAAACGATTTAATATAATATTATATGATTAAACAAAGAACGGCGTCAGAGTTAGCTTGGAAATAAAGATCGCTGTTATTTTAAAGTTTTAAGTAAAATATTATGGTAAATGTCAATAGTAGTCATTTACAAGCCAGCTAAACGACTTTTTTCGATCATACGAAATATTTCGTACCTATAAAAGAATGTTTATATTTGTTGTTTATTCTAACACGAATAAATTTTCAATACGTAAACGCAGATTTTTCATCCAAAGATATTTTTGTCAATATGTATTACAAATATTACACATGTTAATACGGCAACACTGTCGTTTTCAGTTTCACACCGTCTTCGATATGTTTTCGCGAGCCGAACTAGATAAAATGAGTGTTTTATGCACTGGTCGCAGAAAGAGTAGTGGCTCCACCATACAGCACTTGAGACGTGAGGGGAAATCAAATCAGCCTTTTCACGAATTTGCCCATTGGGTTGCGTATCTTTCTAATTCTTTCAATCAACGGTGTTATCGAGTTTTTGATTAAAATAATCTACGCAATGCGTTACATTGCAAATAGCAGCTCTAATAAACCGGAAAACAGACAGGAAAAAAATCCAAATCCGCTAAAAAATGTTCGTTATGTTCGCGTGTGAACAGGCATTAGCCGACAGCTACAACAAGCTGGTCGAAATGTATTTCTACATATATTTTTGTCAGTAAATATAAAAAATTCACGACATAGGTTCGCATTTAATCCTACTACATGCAGGAAAAAGAGAAAAAAAAATAAAATAAAAAAGGGCACATGAGGGTAAAAACTTTTTTTGTTCCGATATTTCCCACAGTGAAAATTGTGCTGCGATATGTAGTATAATAGGTAGCGAGTTCCATGAATTTTACCGTAATTTTGTGTTATCATAATGGAACTGCCTTGTAGTGATTTAAAAAAATAAATTTAGCCAGCAAAGTTTACTGAGTAGTCTAGAGGGAACTTGGTTAGTAGATACAGTTAAGAGTCTGTAACGCTGTACTTTCGGGTCGCTCTCAGTGGTCGGCTAAAGCGGGTGTGTGGGCGAAGGATATATATATTATATTTCAGAAATCTGCCTGAGGCCCGATTTTAATAGTCCGATTCTGTAGTGTTAAGTTACACCCAAAATTCCAAACACACGTGATTAAGGTTTGCAGAGCTTCAGCATTTGCCATAAAATAGTGAGCAGTTTGTGACAAAATCATATACATTATATATCAATGTAATCACAAAACTTCAATCTATTTCCGTATTGTAACGGAATTTTAAAT